AACATATTTTATACTTAAAAATTGCTAAGAGAATAAATATTTTAAATGTTCTTGTTACAAAAATAATAAAAATGAGAGATGATAGTATGTTAATTAGGTTGATTTAATTATTTCACAATGTCTACATATAGCAAAGCATCATGTTGTACTGTAAAAATAAACAATTTTTATTTGTCAATTGTACCTTCATAAAGCTGAAAGACCTCACTTGAAAAAAATAACAGTGGAAAACATTGCTACTCTTTTACTGCTAGAAATAAATTTTCACTACCCACATTACAAAGTAAAAACCCTGACTTTGTAATCAAATCTACTGAAAATTCAGTCCCCAAAGTCAAATGTCATCAATAAAAGTATTTTAATGTAGATTTAAATGCATGACCAGTAAGATGTGCTGTAAATAAAGAAAATAAATATTATTTAGTTTAAAAGACAGGAAAATAAAACACATTTGAAAAGGCTAATCTTATTGTAAGATGCATGCATAGAATACATACTGGGTTTAGAAGGATTGTGAGAAAAAGTTCACCTCCTCTGATACTTTTATCCAGTTCTTGGGGTCCTCCTGGATATTCTTTGTAGAAAATAGTGTGAGTGAACAACCCACAAGTCTGTCGAGGGAGGACCTGAGTAAAAGAGGGGAAAAACAGCACACAGACATGATTTAATTAAGAACTTCACCACTATCTCATAACTTTAGAATCTGCAAATTGTAATTTCCTATTGGATTTTCTTGGTTGCTAAAGTCAAAATCTTATTATAATCACAAGTTGATGTTGGTGTAATTCTGTAAATATTAAGGAAGTTTCCATATCAAAGGCATAAAAAATGAAGGTAAAATAATTTTCAGTTGGTTTTATAAATCTAACCCACCACCTGTGTTATGTTAAATGATTACAGAAAACGCAAAGCCTTCTTAGGGTTAATTTCATCCAAAGATGGAAATTCTCCAAGGTTACATCTTTCATGCCATTAGGCCATCACTCTCCTTGCTTCTAAAATCAAGTCCTGCATTGTAAAGGTATTCAAGTTCTGGGATTCAAACAATCGGTTTTCATAACCCCTTCCACACTAACTTTGTTTTCACTACACTCTGAATTTAAATTTTATCACATAATAGTCAAATTATTTAGTGATTACTTCTGGTATATTTTGTGGTTGTTTCTTCTGTAAATCTGAATGTTTAATAAAGAAAGCAAATAAGTTATTTTATTCCAAAATCATATTTTGAATAACAAACTACTGGTAATTTAATGGACAAATGCATCTAATTGCCTAGAGTTTTTTTTTTTTTTTAATTATTTGCTTAATTATCATAAGGGTTAATCTTAAATTTAAAGTAAATAAATGCATATAATATTGGTTAAAAAGAACGCTTTTATTTCATAATATGTTGAATGGTCATTCAAGGCAAGGAATTAATGCCATACAAGATCCAGTGATGTTTTGGACACAGAAGATAAAGGAAGGGTAAAGAGAAACCTGAGTATTTTCACTATGATTTGAAATTATGTGAGTAATTCTGTTTATACCTTCTGGATTTCTATGGCCATCTAATGTCACTATTTGCATTACCAATAGCTTCTCTTAAATTTGAGGCTTCTTCAGGCCTTCTGGTACCAATTTACAATAAAATAAAGCTTCACGACTAATAAATATTGTGTGTCAGCTCTGGTTAGATATGTGTGTGTGCGGTTGCTTTACTCACAGATAGTGGTTAGATAGAAAAATAAATCATAGATAGATAGATGATAGATGGATTTAACAGCAATATGAATAATGAATTAGGAAGGTGTAAATATTTAAATGAGTGAGAACAGTTTGTAAACCAATGCTCTGATCTTGGCAACTAATTATGAAAACATCATCTAAGTCACTAGAAGTAGGGATACTTGTTTTAAAATGGGCTATTTTATCTCAAAGTGAGTAATATATACTTTTTTACCAATGAATGATTGTAAATTGCCATCTAAAATCCAATTGGTTTTATTGGCATTTATAGGATTCCTACATCCTATTATTTTTCAATTACTATATCTGAAAAGAAAAACACATACCTCCCTTTTTGGAGTATGTAAGGAAAAGACAAAAACAAAAACAAAAACAAAAAAGAGCAGTATTCTTAGATACTTTTGAGTGTCTGAAAGCCAAAATAAACTGAGTGGATAAATTTAACTCTCAGATGCTATTTGTTACATTCTGTCTGTTGACAGAATAACAACTTGAGAGGTGTTTTCTTGATCCGTGGAGCCTTACTCTGCCTGTAAAACTCTCAGTAAAACCACTCAACGAAATAGATAATGAGAAATTTCCTAGGAAAAGTACAGAACCCCCAGGCAAAATTTCAACACTGAAACTACAGTGGATAATCTCTACATAATTCATTCCTCTTAGTTTCAGCTTGTTTTGGATTTGCCAAAGCCACTCCACAGCTTAGGAGCAAGCCTATAGCCAAAAGATGTGTTAATGCATAACCAGTCACCATTGAGATATGTTGGTCATTTCTGAATATCATGTAAAAGAGGTTTGAGGTTACATCCTTAGAGGAAAGGGCCCTCTGTTTTCATTCCACATGTAGATATTAACATCTTTTAATATACATGGCCCTTTGTGCTCACCATGATGCTATTGTGAATGAAGCCCTTTCTGTACCGGGCAGGTTTCAGATGTGGATATTCTTCAGTGCTGGTGACTTGAATACCCCAGACCTTCTTCCAAGCTGCATACAGCTGAATGTGAACCGGGTAGACCCCTGAGTGATGTGGGGCCACAGCATAGCCCATGTTGATTGGTATTCCATGTTCCTAAAAGAAAGCCAGAGCAACATCATGATGGAACATGGCCAATTAATTCAGTGAAAATCATTTCCACCAACATCCATTTAGAATACATTGAACTCTATGCTAAATTTGAGAATTAAAAATCCAGCAAGGTAGAGGTTTTATCTTCAAGCAGCTCATAATCTTATAGAACTCTGAAGGCATAACAGATATAGTCATTACTTCGGGCATGTGGTGTGTGGGTGAGATTAATTTAAAATTTTGAATATGTAAAGTTTTGGGGGAAGATAAGAAGTGAAATTAGCCCTTCCTCGGATAAATGTGGGGGGTGGGGAAAGGTGTCATTTGAGGAAGCGCCCAAATATGAAGGATGAAAGTGCATAGAATGAATGTGTACATGTGTGTGTGTTGTGTGTGTGTGTGTGTGTGTGTGGTGTTGAAGAAAATCAGAAAGGTAAGTATGAATAATGAAGTGGTGAGCTTTTACATTTAAACTGAAGGATTTGGGATTAATTTGATTTCAACAAGGTAGATAAGGAAGCCCTCTGAGCCTGGAGGACCAAGATCTGCTCTGAGTGACAACATGGTAAGATAAACTGTAAGGGGGAGAAAATGAATAAAGGCTATGCATTAGGAAACTACTTCTATGGTGTCAATTAGGTGAAGATAGGTAACTAAATTCAATTATTTATGGTCAGATTCAAAGGCAAGAGATTAATACCATACAAGATCCAGTGATATTTTAGACACCCAGGGTAAAGGAAAGGTAAAGGTTAAGATTTTCTCCTTGGTTTTGAACCTAAACAACTCAATCTATTTTTATAAAACCTACACTTTACTATGAGATTCCTGGGTAAACTGTCAACTCTAAAAGAAAACAAGTATAAATTTAAACAACAATATAAAAAAAAATTGTCAAAGAATGGGATTATATTGCTAGGTACATAAAATAGATCTGCAGTTTTCTAATTTCTGCTTCTTTATATCCCTCCCTTTAAATGCTTATCTGCTTTAAAAGACTCCTTGTAGGATTGAATGTCATCAATTGAGGTTATAAATGACAATGCACAGTCATATATGAAAGCTGATTGAATCAATAAACAGAACACAAAAGTGTTGACTTGACAATTGCCATTTATATTTTCTATTACATGGTACCCAGCATAGGAAAAGAATTCAGTCTGGTATAATAAGCAAATAGTGAATGGATCACATATCTACAATGCCTTAGTCATACACTACACTCAGCTCAGAAGATGAACCCTAAATTTTTCACAAGTCTCCATCATTCTTCCTTTCATGTAATGACCCTCATTGTATAGCCAAAGTCACCTCTCTTTCTTCAAGACTGTGGGTGTTTTCTAACATCTATTACAGTAAATGACTCTGTAGAAGACTGAATTATGAAATCAATGCTGTAAAATGAGCTAGAGTCTTTTGCTAGACACTGGGGAAAATTTCATTTCTTGATCTGTGCAGAAGAAAAATACTTCTTCCTAGCACTTGTGTTTCCAATACAAGGCAAAGCTGGAAAAGTACAGTAATAAAAGTACTTGGAAACTATCAGAGAGGACAGGCAACAGTTGTTACCCTGATATCATTAGGGGCCATGTACTGGGACAGCCTTAGTTCTCTCAGGTTTGTTCCATGCTCCCCAATGAGTGATCACAAAGTCTTTTGAGGATAAGCAATCCTCCAGCATCCATGACGTTGCAAGCTTGTGGATGCATTGGGTGTGAGACACAGATGTACTTTATGAGAAAAATCTAGAGACAAGCGTGTCCAAACTCCTCTGTCTGGTAAATAGAATTTGTATGAATATGCCTAGAGAGGTGCTCCTGATTCACAAGAAAAGGGAATCAAACCTGTTATTCTCCTTTTTACTCTCTCAAGTGATTCATACTGAGGTTTTATAAAACTTGTCCCACAATGTGAAAAGTGACAAAATCAACAGTGTACAAATCCTAATAGTCTTTACTAATCACTTTGTTAGTCCTCATTCTCTACAACTGTATAAATTTTACTCTAAATTTGGGGCCTAGAAGGTTAGATAGAGTATGTGAGTGTCCTGGATACAAAACAATGAAAAATAAAATCAGCAAAAAGTTTTGAAATATCAAACAACTATATGCCTCAGGAAAAAAAAAAGAGACATTTCACTTTTGATAGGTAATAAAATGAATTGAAGAACTTTCATAAAAAACAAAAGGTAAAAAGCGATTGATTTGGTGAGTAGGAAGGAGGGGGCAGTAAAAAAATTCTACTATATTTATTGATTTCTAGGGGTCCAGTGTTATACTGTTATAACGTCATCTTATCACACTGGCAACTGGAGCTCAATTAAAATAGTAAATCACACTACATAATTAAGAGTTTATGCTTTTTCAATCTAAATGACAACACAAAGTGAGAAGTAATTCCCTAGCAACACTTTAGCTGTTATTATGGGGCTTACTGACCGAGAAGCTTCTATTCTTTACTGTCCAGGGCTAAAAATCTACTTCGCAGAGACTTGACCAACTAGAAAATCAACCAAGCACCGTATCTCCACAAGATCACAAAAATCACAAAATTTAAAAAGCCTTCCAATGTAAATATAGGAAGCACTCGAGACTTCATAAAAATAGACACATAAATGACAGAAAACAAATAAATTCAAATATGGCTTTAATTATTTATTAGAACAATGTCTCTTATAGGATCTATGGAGTCTATACTACAATAAGACATGATGCCACAAATATTTAGAGGGATTTAACTTGATCTAATGTTTCCAGTCCATTAAATCCCAGTTGGTTGTGAAATGAGACATTGCAGTAACTTACTATATAAAAAAGATCACCATTTTTCAAAAATTAGAATAAAATAAAATGTATTTAGCACTGAAGCTGTAACAGCAACTGAAATATAACGTCATTTAATTTTGCCTTGATAACTCCTACTGATTATATCTTCTTTTAATTGCTTAGTACCTGCTATTGAAATGGGATAGTCCCCTTGGGTTGGCTCGTGTACTCAGCCCACAGCTCTCAATTCCTCACAGGACGGGGAGCATGCAGGTGAATGAGCAGGTGCAGAGGCCGGCATGAGTGCTTCTGGGCACCGGCAGGATAGCTGCAGTGTGCTCTTTTAGCTTTGCCGTCCATGGATGGCTTAACAGCTCAGTGGAAGGTCAGGTGACAGCCTTTTGCACCCACCCTCTTGGTACCCAAGTTCTTGTCCAGTGTCGAGGAAGAATCAGGTCGCATGAAGGAATTGAAGGGTGGTGAATGTGGGGGATTTTATTCAGTTTGTCCGTGGCCGAACACTTCTCCAGAGTCCTGCTGTCAAGCTGGCCCTCTGAAGTCAAATTGCTACTCTCTGGCATTCAGCTGCTTTTTCTCTTCTCTCTTCTGCTGCTCTGCTCTGCTGCTCAGCGGCTCTCCGGCTCTGCTGCCCCTCTGCAGTAGAGCCTGGGGTTTTTATGGGTACAGGATGGGGTGCGGAGCAGGCCAAAAAGCAACATTCAAGTGTGAAAACAGGAATGCATGTTCTCACTTTGCGCCGCGGTCCCAGGCTTGAGGGTGTGGCCCTTGTTCGGAACCTCCCTCTTCTACCTAGTATTTTCCTGTCTCGTGTCTGTATCAATATTTATGAAGTACTTTTACATTTATGTCTAATATAATTCTCGTAATCATTCTGTGAGGAAGACTGGATGCTCCTCTAAAATGTGGAAACAGAGGCTCAGAGAAGGCATATAACTGGCTTATGTTCACAAGTGTCAGAGCTATACTTCTACCCAATTTGTCTAGATTCATCGTCTTTGCTTTGGTTTTTTCACTAAGTTGCTTCTACTGTGACCCCTCCCCTCCTCAAAGTATGAATGAAGACACTTGACTTACAAAAGGGAATTGATTTTGATATGCATGTTTCTAAACTGGATCTCCTGTTCACTTCCCCCCCCCCCCCCCTTGGAGAGGTTATAAAACAAAGTCTACATTTCTCAGACTCCTCTGCAGCTATCATTTTTTATGAAAATGAGTTTCAGCCTACTAGAAGTACTCAGGACCAGTGTCAGAAGGCAGTAGGCAGTCAAATCCTCAATTTTGGCAGCTCCTGGCTCCTGTTGCTGGCAGCAAGTTCTTGCAAATTAGCAGGTTTTTTCCAGCAGTATTTGGTGCCCATTTTCAGGGCAGTGGCAGAGACTTATTGTTTTTAACAGAGCTCCTGTGGTAGTCTCAGAAATGGCAGCTCCCCCAAGGAACCAGTTCTATATGGTTCTGAGAGTCCCTGCAGAGTACAGAATAGAATCTGCTTCACGAGTCCTTCCGAAGATTTTGGAAGCACTGAAATCATTAAATAAAGTCTTCTTGTTTAAAATAACTTAAAGTGGCTCATGTCACTTTAAACGCTTGGAAACCTGACTGCTAGAGCTGATCTTTGTCCATTTCTAATAAGTATAAAAAGATTTAAGAGCTTCTTGTGAGATGTCTATTGGTTTAAATTCTAAGAAAACAGAGGAAAAAATTGGTAAAACACTGCTCAATACTTATCCTATAAAGATGATTAACATAGTAAATACCTATTTTGCTAGCTGGATACTATTATGTAATGTATGTGACTGTTAAATGTCATGTATTGAGTAGCCAGTGAATACTGTATAGAAAATAGGAGACTACAGTCATTTAAATGAAAAATACCAAATGCACATCAAAACAGTTAAGTTCAACTACATTTGAAATAATTGTTTTTCAGCTCATGACTTATGTCAATCACTTTGCTAAGTACTGGGGATACACTGGGTCTAAGATAGGGCTTCTACCTTCGTGAAGTTTGAAACCTGGAGACAATTGTTGAAATCAGATAGAAGTGTCTTAATTTGGGTTGAATTTTAACCTAAGATTATTTAATTTTTTAAAAAATACATTATTAATTCTAACTTGTAGGCATTTTCCTTGCAGAAAAGAATGATATCCTTGACACAAACGTCTATAGAGGTTGAAGTCTTCATCCTACTAACATTTCTTTAATAGATATTGAAATTA